TAGGGACCTTACGGTCCGACAACGGCGACGGCGACGTGGAACTTTTTTACTTCCGGTTACGTACTGCGCATGAGTAGATTTCTGAGACGGCGGTGTCCCTTCACGCGCGGACGTCTAGAAGCCTTGTTTGACGTTGTGCGAAAACGTGGAAATTAAAACCCAACTATGGCAAAGGAATCAAGGTAAAAACGAGACTTTGCGACTAAATTAAAAAGAATACTAGTTTGTATGAAATGTCCGAAACGAACAGAGCGTGGAGTCTTTTGAATGGAGAGATTTGACTTATTTTGCTTTGTATTTGTTTGTGATTGTACTTCACTAGCTATCACTGAGCTTTCTTATCACTTACTTTCCAACTTTTTTCTCGATCAAAAAAAGAGAACAATTAAGCTTAATTTTATTTTGGGTTTACTAGGAAATAGTAGAGAGATTTTGTCGGCAGCGGTACTAGATTCGACCGATGCAAAGTGTATAAATACTTTCATTGAGATAATTTTCATTTATAATCGTAGATTAACCTTATTTTACAAGGAACTCACTGGCTGGGTTGAACAGTGATATCGACGAATTCCGACTACCGCAAATATTGCTATATTTATAACTGAATAAAAAACAAATACAAAACAGAGACGTTCACATAATTTCCACTGTTTCCTAATTAAATAAGAATTATTTTACAAAATCCAAACTTTATTGATTGCCCAATATTTTGCTCCAAATGCTACACATTTTTTAGTAATTCATGACTGTTTTCATTTGAAATCGTCCTTCCAACCTTAATTGTATGTTTCCCTCATTCGGAAGGCAAAGGATAACCATCATGTATTCTCATGATCATTTCTTTATCTGTCAACAAGTTCAGCTAATTTATTGGAGGACTAAAGAAAACAAAGATATTGTCTAATATTATGATGATCTAGTTAATAGCACCCAAAGCAAGTTATGTTATTTGTTTTAAAAATTTTGATCATGATTAGGACCAAGTGCAAGTAAATCTCAGATACAATGATAATTTTATTGTTAGCAAATTTTGCTGATATACTGATAGTTCTTCCTCATGAAGTAATTTTTGTTGCAATGCACTTTCACTCAATCAATGAAATGGACTGAAGAACACGAATTGCTTATGTTGAGGGAATTGATGCTTTTGCAGCCATGGCTGCACAAGAAAGGAACTAGTGAGAGAGGAGATGATTGGGAAAAGCTGGCAGTATCCTTAAATGCTATTCCTTATCCCCAGTTCCGTGTTACTCAATGGTCTGTTCGTGACCACTATTCAACAATGGAAAAGAGAAGAAGGAAAAAAGTCAGGGAAGAAGACAGAGCCTCAGGTATTGCCCCTGAAGAGGACAAGGAACTAGATCAACTGTTAGATGAAACCATTGAACTCTTTGATGAGTCTGACAAAATCACAGATCAAACAAAACAAAAGCAGGAAGAAGAAGCAAAGAAAGCAGAGGAAATGCAGAAGAGATCATTGAAAACTTTTAAAGATAGCGCCAAAAGGAATGCCGATGAACAGCAAGGAGCAAGACCGAAAAAGGCTAGAGCTAGTGGTGCAAGCACTCTGGCTTACCTGAAGGATAGGGCAGAAGTAGAAGCTACTTTAAAACGTGATGAATTGGAGATAAAAAGGCAAGAGTTAGCACTGCAAGCAAAGGAGCAGGAAGGAAGACAACAGCAGTTTGATATGATGAACAAGCAAACTAGAGATATTCAGCAGCTTCAGCAGCAGCAAATGCAGCAGTTTATGCAAATGAATGCAAACATGATGCAACAGCACCAACAACAAACCCTTGCACTTATGGAACTAATGAAAAAGTCTGCTGGGAAGTGATGCTGGCCAATCTCTGCAAGAGGTCATTTAAATGGACAAAGAGTTCACATTTTTATTAACTTGAACATTTTCAAGGAAGTTAAAAATTAAAGATTTATAATAATAATTACTTGTTTACATATATAGTTGTAAAGGAAATGTTGCTTAATTTTGCCAACCTTTGAAAGTCGCCGAATTGATGTTATGCCAGTATCAAAACTGGGGCTGAGCCTTTATCAAGGCAATAAGGCTTATCCAACTATAGAATTGCATTACTCTCTGTAAACATGCTCACCATTATTTGTTCTCATTTAATAGTTTGTTTTGGTGGCATTTATTTCACTTTAATTCTAATATGTTAGCCTTTCTCGATTGTATAATTTTTTTTATTAAAAAGCAGTTCAATTTTCGAAAGGAAAAGTGTTATGTAACTTTTGTAAAACCTGTTTGGCAGACTTAGTGAAAATAATCCCCAATTTCTGGGGAAGAAACATCAAAGTAGTCTGATGTGGTGGATCCGTAACAACAAACACGAGCACTGTGAAGAAGGGCACATGTCACATACATTTTGCCAACAGCACTTAAACTTATTTTCACGTTTGTTTTGAAGTCCAGTAATTTAAAATAATTTATTATATCACCAAAAATCCATTCAACAGAAACTCTGACTCCACTCATAGATTCATTCCATGCAGACTGTATGGGAGTTAGTCCAGCTCCTCGAAAAGGTCCTTGCAGATGTGGTCGAAGAGGATATCTCGGATCTCCATAAATACATAGGGGGTTCCCATTTGTGTCCACTGAAAATCGTTGCAATTGGTTTAACACTCCAGATCTAGCTAACATCCCACTGTCATGTCTCTTTCCCTCGACAGGCCCAAACAGGTTGGCAACAAGGCCACTGGGTGCTGCGATAGATTGAAACTTTATAGCATGGACTTTTTTGTGACCATTGTATAAGCACTTTTGGTTTTGTCCTGGTCGGCTTATGGGCCTCACAGTACCGTCAACAAACCCCCAACAGTTGTCAAGAGCAGCTCCCCTGTTGTGAACTGCAACGGCAAACTCCTCTAAATGATCGGGTCTTAACCAATCCTGGTTCAAATCAGTGAGAAGGCGGTTCCATGTTTGATACATCTTGTTCATAACAGCATTTGAGATCATACACAATTGTGGTTCTGGCCTTCCAAATCTGGGTATCATGTCTACGTATCTACAGGGATAGGCAAGTCTTTTAAGAAAAATGCACAATGCCTCAACCATGTCGACATTTACACCATTGTAGCAAACGATCCGATCCGGTAAAGTAAACACCTCTGCCAAGTTGTAAATGTCATTCTTGTAAAATCTAAACTCAGTTTTACATTCATCATCGGTCATCTTGTCGAGATCGAAGCACTCGTAGTTAGTGTACGGTAAATCCGGATTTTTAGGCTTGTGTAAATCGTAGAGTAGCACGAATTCTTCAGCGTTAATCAAACGGGAAGCATGAGCCAGGAGAATAGTGTCACGGAACTTTGGCATGGCTTTCTAAAAAACTTTCGTTGACTTAAACACGATAAACATCAATGACCGTCGTCAACGTTCTCGCTCGTAAAATTCGTAATCTCAATTTTGGCGGGAACGCCAACACGACGTGGCCCCGCTCGACCCAGACTTCTCACGTTGCCGTTGCCGTCGCCGTTGTCGGTCCCTATTAGAGAGATTAAGATTCACGTTTACGGCATACGGCAAACGGCAAACGTCAGTTGAAAATTTCTCAGAATAGAAAATAAGCAGATAAAAACAGTCCAGAACGATTCTTGTGGACAAAACTGGCATAAAACTACTTATTTTTGTGTAGAAGCAATAAACAGTAGACGAAAAACAAGGGGAAAACTTGGTCACGTGGTACAAATTCACGTTTGCCGTTTGGTGTAAACGTGAATCTTAATCTCTCTATTACCTCGTGATACGCCTATGGGCGCGATCCATTCAACCAAAATTTCGGGAAATTTCGGTCCAAAACTCAATGGATCGGTTCGGTCCAACCTGAAAAGTTTCGAAAAAACTGGTCCACCTTTTGAGGTGGTCCTCTTTTCCCGGTAGGACCGGTCTGAATTTTGGTTGAATGGATCGCGCCCTCTGTGTGCCCTTAATCTAAAGACCTTTTCGCAGACTGCAATGACAGATTTTCTTACCTTTCATATACCCCGTATAGGCAATTAAAGGGAGTATCTCCGGGGTTGCGACTGGTCTCCTAGGGTCGTCACGCAACGCTAAGGAGACAAAGGAACGACGGCTGGCGAAAAAACGCTGGCTTGGCTAATGGCTGTCGCTTGGCGGATTTGTTGTTTTTGGCCTTCGTGCATCTCACGTGAAAGTGGAAGTCTAAGATCGATGAGTCGACAACAGTTTATGACGTAACGGGGGCTTCCCAAACTGGTAGACCCAGATACAAAGATCCGGATATTTTTAAAGATATTTAGAAGATTTTGAGATATTTAAAAATCTCATGACATTTAGAAAAAAAATGTGATATTTAGAATTTTGTTGCGAAAAAAGTACTGAAATCATGTTTTTTTCTTGGAAGCTACTTCAATGCTAATTAGGGCATGGGTACTTCAGTGCCAGAAATTCAACCACTTCTCATATGGGCCTGTTGTAATCAGATGCAGCAATATTCTCTATAATATATGCAATGTTTGCTGATGACGCACTCTCTGAGCCATTACAAACCAAGCGGTAGTGTCCCTTTTAGAGCACTTTAGACCTCCAGCACCTAATATCCTAATATTCTTTCACGAACTCTTCCTGTATTAAAGTGTAGTGCCCTAGTCTTATTGGAGGTCGAGGGGAACTGTAAATAAGGTCTACTTTATGTGGAATCGTTTAGAGTTTTGCTGTATGCTGTGCAAGAATATAATGTCCTGAAATTTGCTGAAATTAATTGTGTTGCCATTTTAGATGACAGGGAATTTATTACATAAGGTTCGAAAATTGTACTTGAGTGGAACGGTCCTCTAGAAAATATTAGCCGTCCTCAAGTAATGGGAAATTCTAGTCCCATATTTGCCTCTCCGAACAGATATTTTACAGAAAACAGTAGTTGAGTGCCCTTGAAAAAGGTTAAAGTGCTCTTTAATACATTAATTTTTATACATCTAATTGCGTCAAGGAATTAATATCAGAGCTAACGATAAGTCTATTCACATAGAACGATTTGAAGCGTTCTGTCGCCATTGTAGGATGATGAATGCATGGTGTGTGCGTAACTGGTGAAATTCCTTTGTGGTAAAATCTTCACAAGGGCCGAATTAGTTCCCAATGACTTTCTAAAAGTACGGCGATCTGATCTTTCAAGCAGCTCCCTTATATTCAATTTCCTCGATATATACCTGCGTTTATCGCACTTATCTAAAAAATGCTCTACGTTGTTAAGATCAGAGGAGGAGGCTCCGTACACCGATAAACCATAGAAAAAATTAGGCATAACAAGTGATTGAAACACATAATCCGGCTCCCCCTGATTGTACAACTCTTGCCGAAGAGGTCTTATTACGTGCAAGCATTTTTAAAAAGACTTAACAAGCTTAATTTTCACCCACGTAATTTGCGTATTTACAATTCTACCGGAATATCACACCTAAAAGTTAAGCTCACTGCATTGCGGAATGTTATGTATTTTACACAGTTCCTCTACAAACCCTTTTTTACGCATGGTGAGCTCTTTGCACTTTCCTGGAATACATGAGATGGATAGGTCTAGATACAAATATCACGAAAAATCGCCTAAGTATGTTTCCGGAAATTCCCCTTTTTTTTCTAAATATGTCGAATTTTTTTTCTAAATATCTCGAAAAAGTTCTAAATATCTCAAAAATGTCTGGCTTCATTTCATAAATATTAAGGTAAAAACACAAAAAATAGCCTGTCATCTAAAATGGCAACACAAATTTCAGCAAATTTCAGGAAATTATTTTCCTGTACAGCATACAACAAAACTCTAAACAATTCCACATAAAGTCAGTCTTTATTTACAGTACCCCTCAGCCGCCAATAAGACTAGGGCACCGCACTTTAATACAAGCAGAGTTCGTGAAAGAATATCAGGTGCTGGAGGTCTAAAGTGGTCTAAAAGGGACACTACCATTTGGTTTGTGCGTAGCTCAAAGAGTACGTCATCAGCTACATTGCATATATCATAAATGGAAAATATTGCTGAATCTAATTACAACGGGCCCATATGTGGAGATTTGTTTGAATTTCTGTCACTAAATATCACAATTTTTTTCCTAAATATCATGAGATTTTCTAAATATCTCAAAATCTTATAAAAAAATCCGGATATTTGCATCTAGGCCTAATTTCTAGACATCTAAAAATACTCTGGATAGCGTTAATAGTGTTATCAATGCATTAAGGAGAAAACCGCCGTTGGGTACCCCTGTTTTTTTTTAATTTATTTATTTTTTTTACTTTTGAATTTAATACAGCCATCTATTGTATTGTATTAAACAAGCAAATAATCACGACGCTATTATCAAATTTACAGCGGAAATCTCTGATAACAAAATCTCATTTCTAGATACAATAGTGTACAATGGGGAAAGGTTTAAAAGCAAGTTAATTTTCAACTTTGTCTGTCACCGCTGCGAAACGCTGCTCGTTTATCTCGTAACTAGAATTTCGAAAGACTGACCAAAAATGGCCTTACGAGGGAGTGAGTAAGTGCGTTGTTTTCCGTTGAGTTACTATATCTCCTATTGTTGGGTTTTTTTGTGGAAGTATTACCGAAATGGAAATGATGCAAGGGTGATATTTAAGGGTATGTGGCTTGTAATATAAGTAGCATTCAGAAGCAGATTCCGAACCGGTTAAACGGAAATGGAGAGACGCGATATGCCAATGAGTTCACATGTAACGGACATGGAGAGCAAAATTTTACATTCTCCCCAAGAACAACCAAAGAGCTGTTGCGAAAATATGTTAAAAGGTGATAATCTTAACTTTATTTTACAAAGTTCAGTCATTGAGTAGACAGCGTGGCCGAGTGGTTAGAGCGCTGGACTTGCAATCCGGAGGCTCCGAGTACAAGTCCCGCTCTGAACGTTAGCTGGATTTGTTTTCGGCAGTCCCGAGTTCAAATCCTCGACCACGCTTATAAATAGCCAACTGGTTCGACCTCCGACCAGTTGGGATTCTTAACCCTGTTATGTTTGATTTAAATTATTTGTTTCATTTATTTGGCCGGCCCCACTAGCATTAGTGCTACAAATACTGCCTAGGGTAAATAATGGAATTATTATTATTATAAATACTAAAGTTGATACTGATGTACCTAGCTACAACCCCATGCGCATTTAGAACTCGAGGAAGTCATCGTTATAGATATATAGGCAAGATTATACATGTCAGTCGACGAAGAACAATTTATTTGTTCTTTCAAAGGACAATAAGACGGGAAAGACTATTCTGTGGAACTGCAGACGGCGGAACCACGGTGCATTAAAGGAACCTACGGAACCTAAGGAAATGACTGTTTTTATTGATAAAATAATTCGTTAAAGTTAATTATAACATTGATAGACTGTTTACAGTGCCCTATTTTTCCTTAAGATCGTCGAGATTGAGCACTTACCGTCACTGGCAGCCATTTTGTTGATTTCAAATGTACCGAGAGGGTTGGCGTCGCGGTTCCCAAACCGTTCCCCACCCTCCAAGTAGAGTAGATAGTTATCTCCCTCACCTTTGAGCTAGACTCGGTCACGATGGCCCCCTGTTGCGCTCGTTCTCGAGGATCTTGCGAAAAAATAGGGGACTGTACACAGTGTATTTTAACTTTAATCGAGAGCTAACAGGAAGTCCGCGAATCGCGGACTTCAGGCTCGTTAGTTCTTCTGAAGGGAACGAGAGGTATAGATTTAAACACAGTAGCACAACGTTATAAGGAAGATAGTATGTGAATGTGTTTGTGAAAAAATAGATGATATTTAGGGAAGGGCTGGGTTGTATCCGGCAACAAGAGGAATACGTGTGGGTGAGTCAGTGCGTGTGATAGTGTGAACACGTTGTATCTTCTGGTTGAGGAAACCGACATTGTATCCACGTCTGTTTAAGTACTGTGTTAGTTCATTACAACGCACTTTGTACGTCTCGTTGAAGGAACATATACGTCGTATTCTGAGGGCAAGGCTGAATGGAAAAGCTCGTTTAGTGTGTAAGAGGTAGCCTGCATAACCGGCACTTTATGAGCCAAGCGAGGCGAACACGACATTTCGCACAAGAAGAGCACGAATCGCGAGACGAGGGGAAGAGGAAGAGAAAGATTCGCGCGAAATGCCGTGTTTGCCTCGCTTGGCTCATGAAGCACCTTTTACGCAGACTAGGACGAGGCGACATAATGAGCGTAAAAGATAGTGATGTTTGTCTGTAGGTTTAGTATTAAAGAACAGTTTCAATGATACCATCATTGAGGGACACCTTTGCGTCGAGAGAGGAGATTTGCATGCATGAGTAGTTAGATGTAAATTTAATAGCGGGCTGAAGGGTATTTATGTAAGAGATGGTATAAAAATATACGTTTATAGTGAGAATGAACTTGATGAGGTCGCAAAGAGTTTCCGTGTGTATGGTGGATGTAGAGTTGTCGATATATTAAGGAAGTGACAGCAGGCGCCAATACCCTCATCTTTCTCTCATCCTACTGTGCTTAAGTCTATACCTCTCTTTGCCTTCCGGCGTACTAACAAGCCGAAAGGCCACGATTCGGGGACTTCCTCTAGAGAAATGACGTCAAAATGTTCAAAACTCAAGTGGAACCACAAGCCGCAGGCAAGTGGTTTCATTGTAAAGTTTTGAACATTTTGACGTCATTTCTATAGTCGGCAACAGAACAGACCATGGAAAATTGTTGTCGATTTGTTTTTTACAATAACGTCATTATGATATTGACAGTTTTTGTCGTCCATTTCCGTTGACTTTTCGCGGAAAATCGCTCGTGGGAAAGAGAAAAACAGACTGCCCACTTCATTTCCATGGTCTGTTCTGTTATCGACAATAGCTCTCGACCAATCAGCGGGCGAGAAATCACTTGGATATTATAAAAAAAATAATTGTAATTAATTATTTTATCACGTTAGCCAATTTAAGGTAGTTGTAATATTCACCTTATTTTAACCCTATTCTGACCGGGAGGGCATTTGAGACTTCCCCTCGCTCTGAAAGATAAATAACTTCAAAACCATTCAATCTATGACCATCAAACTTAGCGGCTTTTCCTAAAAATTGTATATATGGAAACGTTTTAAAGTCGTTGTGACGTATTCGTCAACGTTGATGTACCGGTAACGATGGCAACCGAGTTTTGAAGGCCATGTTTTTAAAAATTTGCATTTTTTCTAAAAAAATAGGTTTTATATCTATTTTTACTGAATAAATAATATTCTGTTACACTTAATTTAGCATTATTTTATCAAAGTTATTATAACTCTTAATGAAATAGTTCCAGTTCCTTTTTTGGTGGTAAATGACGTCATCATGACATCACTGCCAGTGTTAAAAATTATTTACATGTTAGCCAACTTCCTGATTTTATCAGATACCCTACTATTTATAAGTATTTTTCGCTTTACGTCAGTCGTCGGGAGAAATTTGAACTCTGTTAATAAATGAACCAATATGTAAGAATATTTCATTATGTCAATTAAATTATGACTAATAGTCCTTTTTACAGATACTTTTTACAGATCCTTGTGCCGTATTTTGACGTATATAATGATCGCCCTTTTCCCGAGAAATATACAGTGAAAGACGATATCTCTAATACTAAACTAGAAACAGGCGATCATTATTACATCCAAACACGGCACAAGGATCTCTTTTCCCATTACAATCTTATTCTAAGGAACTTTAAGAAAAAATGTCCCGAAAAGCGCTCGAAAATACAAACGAAATGCGCTCATGCCCCCTGGGCATCCTATAATACTCCTTAAATCGAATTAATTCAATATGGCCGCCGTATCGGTAAAAAGGTCTATTGAAGTTGGAAATGATGAGTACATCATTCTGTGTAATTTCGGTGGCCGTAGCATGAGCAGTTTTGAAGTTATAGGAGGGGGCCTCCGAGCCTGAAAGTAACTAACCTGAAAGTTCCATCCATGGGGAGGGGTGTGTGGATATTTTCTTAGAATGAGCTGTCTCATAAATAATATATGTTAAATTCTCTTTATCTTTTTCTTAGAAACTACGATTGTCAATCCGAGAAATGAAGTTATCCCAGAATTTCAGATTGCTGATATCAGTGATGAGTTAGAGACTTGCTGGCGTCAGCTGGGACCCAGGCTTAAGATTACAGCAGCAAAGATTAAAAACATTGATGAGGAGAACAAAGATGACTGGACCAAAGCGAATAATCTTTTGATCCTGTGGAAACAGCAGGAAGGGTGTAATGCTACAGTTGGTAATCTGGCAGATGTTTTAGAGAAGATAGGAAGGAAAAGAATTGCTGAAAAACTGCTTGGTAAGTTACTGATTGCATTGAGTATATATACTGAAAGCACATATTACAGAACAGTGCTTGTTAGGCTTTTGTACATTACGCTAGCATTTTTTCGAGCACTTTAGTGAGGCAAAAGCATTGAGCATTATTCGAGCATTTTAGTGGCATTTTCCCCAGAAAATTAATTTTTTCCGAGAAAATAAAATAGAAATGAACTTTTTTCAGGAGCCCATGCCCCATGAGCTCCTGCTTTATTAAAGAAAATGAAGACTAAAACTCAAAATTCACAAAAAACCTAATACAGCTGTTCTTTTTGGCTGTATTTATGAACTTGTACACGTTGTCGTTGTTACTTGCAACACTTCTACGTTTTTGTAAGTGTAAACTTTAAAATTAATTTAAAAAACCGTTTGTATAATGAGTATTATCCGAGCATTTTAGTGACTTTTTTGGGGAGACCGAGCATTTTAGTGGGAAAAATGGAGCATTAAGGTGGAGCATTTTAGTGGGAAAGCAAAAGCATAATGTACAAAAGCTTAGTACTTGTCTTGTACAGGGACCATGTCTACCCCTTCAAGCCCCAATATCCACCAACAAATTCTCCAAACTGGTCTCTACATTTTGTATACATTTGCATAGAGAATAAGTAGAGAGAATTTAGTAAAAGATCCAAGCGTTTTCCTCTAGGTGATAATTCCATTAATTCTCACAAATTTTTCTCTTGATTGTGTATGGATGTCGTTTTGAGAAAATTGACGTTTGTCACCCGTGGGAGTTATAAGATAATTGAAAAAAAAAAGGAGCTCAGGTTTTTTAATGCAATGTAAAATAAATTAAAGAACCCCCTGACCATGGATGATTGACTCTTTAGACTAGTTCTAGCAGAACTGAAGCTCATTTCTGTTTCGTTGACAATTACTGTTGTTTGTTGGGTGCTGTCAATACAGGCATGAGACCTAGCTTTTTGGGTCTATCAGACAAAAAAATTACTTACAGAGTGTAACCAATAGTACTCCTGGGAATTTTCGGTGGGTGTACTGTATGCCGCCCAGTTCTCCAAATCCAGACCCCATCTCAGAACAAAAAATGGCATTTTCCAAGCCAATTTTCAGACTTGACCTATGTTTACATGCATGTAGGCAGAATTAGCTATGTTATCTTTACTTAGATTAGAATGCCAACAAATTAAACAGATTTCTTAAAATCCATTTTGAATTTGCATATTTCTCTTCCTTTCTTATTTATTTGGAATTGAAATGATAAATACGTTCATACACTCCCGTAGTTTTCTCGAGAAACACACCCGATTCCAGACCAAAATGGGCAAAGTCTCTGCCCGTTTTCAGACCAAAACGGCACAAAAACCCTAGCCTTTGGGAGGGGGCACGTACCTACCTTCCCCGGGAACTTAGTCTTTTGACATTGCATCAATTTTTATAGGAGTGGGGGAAATTGTCAAGTCAAGTCTATGTTACATGAACCTTGAGCATTAATTTGTGTCTATCTGTAAAACAGGTTGTAGGATAATTTATTTTTTCATTTTCCCCATGTCAATTATCTTATTTGTTTGGCTTTAGGAGAGAGTAATGATGCATTGGAGATACCAACATGTGCACCAGTTTCCACTGGTGACGTGATCAGTTTGACAGTGCAGAATGCCAGACAGGACAAGGTTAATTAGTTATTCTTCTTTTAAATATTCATATATCTGACAACATTTGCCTCTAGAAATCACCCTCACATCCCTCTATCGACTCTGGTTTACCATTTTTGTTGTACCTTATTTTGTTTTTGGTTTTCGACAACTTTGTCTCACTAAATTTTTTTCTTATAAGCTGTAGAAATACACAATCACTAAATTTTAAACTGTATGAAACCCCAGTTGGGGGGGGGGGCATGCCCTTATTTGGCCTGACATTTTCAGGGTATGGGCTTCTGAACAGGGTGGTATTCAAGGTCTTAAGTCTTAAACGGGATATACAGTTTTACTACTCAGAGCTCTTGAACACGGCTTCTTTTTGGATCAGAAGCCTTTAAAAGGGGGTGAAGTTTGGCAATGGCCGGTCGACATTTGTGGTACCAACTTTTTTTTCCAAATAATATATTTCCATGATGTTAGTTTGAAAAATTGTTATTTATTCTGTATAGAAAGCGATGAGTCAGGCTCATAAAATAAGGTCTTCTTGTCTTGGTCATGGTTTGAAG